CAAAAAGAGAACTGACGCCTCAGCTAGATCAAGTTGTTATAGAGGATGAGATTTTAAGGAGTGAAGTAATTCATGGTGGAGTCTCTCTCCATAGCAGAAAGAGCACAGAATAAATGGGAGCTGGTGAGTCTGAAGCCAAGCCCAGTGTAAGCAGATATATCAACCCAGGGGATTGCTTCCCAGAAGGCAGGCTGTGTCCCCCAGCACAGTACACAATGGTATATTACATAATCTCATAGTCATCGAAACATACAGTCAAGTTAAATAGAGAACTTCAGGAATTGGAGCACTTTAAATGAGTTGTTTTTTTTAACTTATTTTTAAAAAACAATTTCCCTATTCTCTTTTATGAGTGCTTGAATTGATTGTGAGCAAGACTTCTAATTCGTATCCACCCTCAGATCTTCCTCAATTGGAAATCCAAAAAGCTTTTTGAATATTTTGATATGCTCCTTAAACTTACTTTTAGCTTTTTTTAAATTCCCTATTGAGCAAGGTAGAGAATTGTAAGAAGAGAATTAAGTGAGAGAAATTACTGTGGGGTTGCCTCCCATTTTGGCTTTATCAGTCTCTTTTGTTCTCTCTCTCCAAACCTCAGTCAATATTCAATCTCCACAGGTGCAAAGAATGTCTTAATTCCCAGCAAAACCTCTGCTTGCTGAGTCTGATCGCCTCAGAAAAAAATGAAAACATACTTATCTCTTCAGGATCTTGCTGTAATCAGCGAGACTCTTTCATTGTTGAGTTCTGCAGGATTTCCTGGGATCAAGTATGTTTTATGTAATGTGTACTTCAGTCAGAATAGCCAAACTTTGAGCCTAGGACTGCCATCCAGAGACCAGTCAATCGAAGAGTTCAGAACGCATCAACTCAATTTTAACTTTTAGGAATACTGTCATTAATCCTTAATTATTGGCTCCTAAGGCACCTTGGAACCTCTGTGTCTTCAGGTCTGCTGGCCAAAACCAAGCTGCTCCATCTCTCCTGACTAAGCCCTTCCAGAGTCACCTCCTCTGGGATACCTCTTAAGTTGATAGAACCCCTTAATCCCGTCCCAACATTTTTGTTCAATCTTGTTTTATTTTCTTCAAAACCCTGGTCATTTCCTAAAAGTATCTTATTCTAATATGATGCCTATACCAGAGCTACTATTGTTAATGCATAAGGAAATGCAAGTTGACTTTTCCCTATGTGCCTCTCACAAACCAATGTATCACTGGTTAAGTTTTTTCCACCTCTACCCAACATGACAGGACTCATTTGGCTGAAGCTTGCAAATGTTTCTTGCCTGTGACTTTTTGTAGGTGCTGTCAGTGCCATGGGAAGAATCCTTGTTGACCTGAGTGAGACACGGCACAGGCAGACAGAAACTCAATAAATAGGCCAAGTGCACATCAGATGGCTCTGGGGGAAATGAAACCAAACCAAAGGGGTGGTGCAGAAGCAGAGAGCAGTAGTGAGGGAATGGATTTAGGATGGGGCAGGGTTGTGAGCTGGACTTCAGCTGGCAGAGAGGAGAAGGTGGGCATATATGAGAAAAGCCCTCCCCCTTCCCACTTGGGCAGATGCATGTGGAGCCAGAAGACTGGACTTGACCCCAGCCCTAGTTCTGCCCCTGGGATCTTCTTCTTTCAGGGTATAGGCAGTGGCACTAGCTGGGGCATTTAGTTTGGGACATGGAGGTTTTCATTCCATGAAATGCTACCCGAGCAGCTGGGTGTGAGTTTGGAGTTAGGGAGTGAGAGAGACTTTGCAGTTAAAAGGTCTCTGAGCACATTCCCAGCTATTATATCTTCACATGGTGTATGTTGGTGCCACCTCTGAGGGCACTGGTTCTGAACCACTGGTCCATTATCTGTGCTGGTCCACAGATATAGGAAAGTTGGAAACTACTGGTCTGTCATGGTGCTTACAAGTGCCAGCCCATGGAGCAGTCCGTGGACAGGTGCCAGGCTGCAGGTATACAACGGTTGAAGAATAGAGTCAGAGAGTATGCATGCCTTCTCTACCCATCCATGGCCACTGGCATCACCATGCCAGTTCACAAAGATCTGCATCTGGTATTCTCACACCTAGCACAGTGCCTGGGACTGGAACACTTTATAAACACAGGAGAATGACAAACTAATTATGGATCATCGCTTACGTTCATCCTGTGTGTTTTATAGACACTGGATTTATGGCCAGTCTATACCTCTACCTCCATTTTTAGACATTCCATTCCTACTCAATGACAAACGTTCAGAGATCCTTTAGTCAAGTTATTAAGCTTTTTAAAACCTCTATCCCTGAATATCATTTACTACTTGGTTTTTTAAAAAAACTTAAATTCACAGTAGACTTTCCATTCATGGAGATGGTGATGCATCTAACACACTCACTGAAATAAAGAAAAATAACCCTGGTATAGAGAACACATGTCTATCATAGGGACTTCAGAACTTCTAAAGGGGATTCTTGAAGGAACTTTCCCTCTACATTGAATTGTGCTTGTTGGTGAGGATTTATATGGAACCTTTTCTTTGCTACACTAAAGTACGAGTTCAATTTTTCTATCTTATGAGATGACAGCAGCCCAGACAAGGTCATACCTGAACACCTGAAGAATCTGCCATTAGTACTCTTCAATACACTGGCTCAGCTCTTCACACGCTACCTGTCTGAATGCAAGGTTTCGTCCCAATGGAAAACCAGCAGGACTGTACTACTTTACAAGAAGGGAGACATCCATGACATTGGCAACTATTACCCGATCTGCCTGTTGTCTGTTGTCTATAAGCTGTTCACTCAAGTCATCCTGAATAGGGTTTGCAGAACACTAGATGAAGGAAAACCATGCAAGCAAGCCAGTTTCCAAAAAGGATTCAGCACAATCAACCATATCCACACCATAACCAAGCTCATTGAGGTTTCTCAGTTCAAGATGCCGCTCTGTCTAACGTTCATTGATTTAAAGAAGGCCTTTGATTCTGTTGAGACTGAAGCAGTCATAGAAGCCCTAGCCAAACAGGGTGTTCAAACTCAATACATCAGGATCCTCCATGAGCTGTATTACAGGTTCAGTACCAGGATCTCACCGTTCTACAGGGAGGTGATATTGACGTCAAAGAGGGGTTCGGCAGGATGATACCATTTCACCCAAACTCTTCAGTGCCAACCTCAAGAATGTTATGTGACGACTGGAATGGGAAGGAATGGGAGTGAAGATAGACGGTAGGCAACTACACCACCTCCGCTTCACTGAAGATATAGTTCTAATAACACCAAACATCAGCCAAGTGGCACAGATGCTCGCTGACCTTGACCGTGAATGTGGAAAGGTTGGACTACAGCTAAATATCATGAAGACAATGTTTATGAGAAACAGTCTCATTCCTGATGTTCCATTCACTCTCAATGGAACGAACATCTCCAAATGCAACAGTTATGTGTACCTAGGTTGAGAAGTCAACATGATGAATGACCTGGCACCTGAGTTGCGCAGGAGGAAGAGATCAGCTTGGAACGCCTTCAAGAGCATTGAAGAAATAGCTAAGAGGATGAAGAATCTCTGGCTCCGGGCACATCTCTTTGATTCTACTGTTCTTCCTGCATTAACATATGCCTCAGAGACCTGAACTCTACAAAAACTGGATGAGAATGCTACTTGGGTCTCCCAAAGAGGAATCGAAAGAACTGTGCTTGGAGTATCATGCTTTACTCAAATGAGAGAAAGAATCCGGAGTTTTGACCTCTGTTGATGATCAAGAATCAGGGATGCTATCTCTTTTGCCAAGGTGTCAAAAATCAGATGGGCTGGACGCATAATGAGATTTGGAGATGACCACTGGACTAGAGCCATTACCGACTGGATTCCATGGGATGTCAAAAGACCGTGTGGCTGCCCACCTTCGAAATGGTCAGACTTCTTCGTCAAGACCCTGAACAATCGGTTTGAGGCTGTTCGTGTTCCTAGAATGAGCAGACACTATTGGGCTACACTAGCACGCAACAGGGATGAATGGAGACGTTACTGGCGCCTGCTCAAGCAAATCGATGAGTAACCGGATGTCAAGTCAAGTGATCAATGATGAGATGATATAAAGGGGACTTATTACAACACTTCTATTGTAGTCAGATTTAAGAGCGGAGAAGAGTAGACCTCAGCATTTCTATTCAGAAGGATCATTATGGCTTTGCACGAGAGGGGTGGTTTACACTGGGTTATGGGTCAGTTAGTATTGTTATATAATAACTGACACCCCCACCCCCAGTTCAGTGACTTAAACTTTCCTCATCAAACTGTGGTTCTGTTCTGTTGGTCCTGATGGGACCCACTCAGGGTGAGGAAAGCCGCTCTAGTCCTGTTGTCTGGGCGCTCTCCTCTCTGGGCTGTAGCAGCTCCCACGTGGGCTTGGTTGTACATCCCGGCTCTCATCTCTCAGTAGCCCGAGTCAGGTGTGTCGACCGACCATGGTCAAGTTCCAGCAGCAAGACTGGAAATACTCAAATCTTCCTGAACCCTCAGGCTGGAACTGGCAGAATACAGCTCCTGTCACAATCCACAGTTCAAACGTAGGTGGAGAGGTAGACGCCCCTCCTGGGGGAAGAGCTGTAAAGTCCTATTGCTATAACTGGCGCTCAAAGGGTCAGTGAGGTTCAGGAGAAGTGTGTGCAGGAACTCTGACATAAATGGACATTCTCTCCTCTGAACTAAAGAAAAATACATCATGACTCTTCCCCTTCCCACCCGCCAATTCGTCCTCTCTTATACATGGGCCATTTATAAAGTATTTTTCTCTACCGAACTGAAGGTTTTCCCACTTGAACTGTTCACTCTCTCAGAAAAGGTGACTTCACTGAAATATGTTGTCCTGAGACATTAATAGAAAACATGAAAGTCATAGAAGACATAAGTGTCATAGGAGACAGTAATTTGTAAAACGCCTGGTGTGAGGCCATATATCTTGCACCATGACTCATGGCTGACTCCACATAATGACTGCAGCCTTCTCTTGCAGGACTATGCTCATATGTTGACCTGTGTTACTGAAAGAGAGAAGTTCATTGTTCCCATCAAAGCCCGAGGTGCACGAGCCATCCTAGACTTTCCTGACACGCTTAATTTCTCCATCTGCCCTGTCAAATACAACAGCCAGAAGACTCTATTGGTGCGGAACATTGGCAACAAAGAAGCCGTGTTTCACATAGAAACTCAGAGGTATGCATTGTTTTTCAGCAGTCGTGTTTGATTGATGATAGTTCAAGGTAGTCGGCATGAGAGTAATTTGCTCGCATAGCCTACGGGTGGAACTGCTCTTTATGGTCTTTGGTTGCAAGGCAGGGAGAGTTCACTGATGAAGGGCAAACTCTCTCTTCATCCCAAGAGGAAACCAGAATTCAAGGCTATCGATCTGGGTACGGTTAGTTTTCTGAAATGCTTGAAAAATCTATAAAGAGCGGCCCGTGGGACTCCATTAATAAACACCTTCATTTGGATGGATAATGTTCTAAGTAGCTGTATTCGTTTTCTGCTGCTCTCTAACAAATTACCACAGATTTGGTGTCTGAGAGAACACACATTAACTAGCTGGTGTTTCATGGATCTGAAGTTTCCCTGGGCTCACCTCCAAGTGTCAGTGGGGCCATGTTTCTCTCTGGCCTAGAGAGAGAACCCCAAGATTTGCCTTTTCCTGCTTCTTGACTCACGGAGCCCAGTTTTCTTGTTTGGAAAATGGGTATAGTATACAGTAGCCACTTTTTAGGGACACAGTGAGAAATGCACACATTAATAACTGTTAATAAGGGGCTAACACACAGCAAAGGCTCTATAACAAGTGGTTGTTCTTTAATTGTTCCTTTAAATGAGATGTTCCCAGTGTTTCTTTCCAGATGTGACCCTGTTCTGGGGTCAGAGCAATAGTACAGAGGGGAGGGTGTTTGCTTTGCCTTGCATGTGACTGACCCAGGTTGGATCCTTTGGCACTGCCAGGAATAATTCCTGATGCAGATCAAGGAGTAACCCCTGAGCATTGCTGAATGTGGCCCAAACCCAAACAAGCATGACTCTGTTCTAATCCCAGAACCTGTGAATGTATAATGTCACATGGTAAAGAGAGTTGGGGTGTCAGTGTAACTGGGTTTCTAGTTCTAAAATGGGGGGATTACCTTGGTTATCTGAGGGGGTGGCAATATAATGACAGGGGTCCTTAAAAATAGAAGAAGAAGAGAGAGGAAGAGAGATGAGACTAAGGAAAACTGTATCTACTCTTGCTGGATCTACTCTGGGCTGGAGCGATAGCACAGCGGTAGGGCATTTGCCTTGCATGCAGCCAACATGGCCGACCCGAGTTCGATTCCTCCGCCCCTCTCGGAGAGCCCGGCAAGCTACCGAGAGTATCTCGCCCACACGGCAGAGCCTGGCAAGCTCCCCGTGACGTATTCGATATGCCAAACACAGTAACAACAAAGTCTCCAATGGAGACGTTACTGGGCCTGCTCGAGCAAATCGATGATCAACGGGAGGGCCTTTACTTTACTTTACTTTTACTCTTGCTAGTTTGAAAAGGAGAAAAACCTGAATGCTGAAGGGGGTGTATAAGCTGTTCAAGGGCACACAGCTAATAAATCAGGAGTGGGATCTTAGTTTAATTTAAGTGGTGTAGGCACCAGGGGCTAATTATAATGATGATGATACTGTCCTTGTTCCAGGAAACTCTTACAAAACTGGGAAGGACCATGGTTATGGGATATGAAACCAGTGGTGAGAAGTGGGACCATAGCAATAATATCCAAGACACACATTTTTTCTTGTACTAATGGGAGAATATTTTGGTTTCCCCCAAGTTCCCCGCATCTATATGGGAATTATGTGCCTGGGTCCTGAATTGATCCTTCTCCCCACAAGCTCGTCTCTCGCTCCACAGGACTGTGGAAACTCAGGCTTCAGATTTATTGAGAGTAGAGGGTAGACATGGTGGTAGCTCAGCCTTATTGTTCTTTGTCTTAGTTTCTTTGCTTTTGAATCATCTGCCTTTATATTTATATATTCAACATATATGTATCACGATCACGATCATCCTGTTGTACGTCAATTGCCTCGAGAAGGCACCAGTAATGTCTCCTTTGTCCCAGCCCAGAGATTATAAAGTGCCATATTCAAGACTCTTTAAGGGTTAGGAGAATGAGACCCATCATTGTTACTGGTATTTGGCATATTTGGTACACCACGGGGAGTTTGCCAGACTCTGCCATGTGGGCAGGTTACATTCAGTAGCCTGCCAGGTTGTCCAAAGTAAGAATGAGATAATAAGATGTCATGTGGCTACAAATGCGGCTGCACGCTTCTGGGAGCTGGGTTTTGTAGTCTCTGGGTCTTGGCCATTGATGGGATTACACGGCGCCAGGGGCTCAGTTGGTGGGTGTGACCCCTGCCTACTGGAAGATGGAGGATCTGAGTGGAGGATGCTCAGCCCTGATCTGAACAGGCTTGGAGATCTCAGCCCCGGGACCCGCATGCCTTTGTTCCTCTGCCGGTACCTTCATGCGTGTGGAGAGTGGTCTCAGCATGGTTGTGGCTGGTTCTGGAGGTCTTTGGCTGCTGGAGCTCTGCTCGGGGCAGGGAGGGAAACTCAACCCAACCCCCTCCAAGGGGCCCCAGCGAGGACAGCCAGGCGCGGGGGCAGGACACAATATATATGTGTACATATATATTGTATGCTCAGGTACACATTTATGTAATTATATTTTATCCAATTTTTCTGAGTAATTTATGCTAGGATAATTTTCAGATTTCTTGCTCTGCCATCAGGGCTATCATACTGGGGGGGTGAAAGCACATGCCTTGGGGTGGGACTTGTGCTTATTCTTGCTGTGTCCCAGGCCTGTCAGCAGTTTGAGCTGCTGCTTGTAGGCGAAGATTTCTGTTGGGGATGGTTTCTCCCAGTAGAAAAGTGACTTTCAATATTTCTTGTTCCACAGGTCACGGGTCTGTTTCAGTCCCTCAGGTTTTGTCTATCTGAAAGAGTCCCTTTTTTTGCTTTCATTTTTCTAGGATATTTTCTGTACAGTATAGGATTCTGGATTGATAGTTACATAAATTTTCCCCCAGTACCTTAGAAGATGTCACTTGCACTGTCTTTTCTAGCCACTGTGTTTCTTTTAGCGGGGCAGGAGGCACACCTGGTCATGCTCAGGGCTTACTCCTGGCTCTGCATTTAGGGATCACTCCTGGCAATGCTCAGGGAATCGTGTGGGGTGCTGGAGATCAAACCTGGGTAGGTAAATGCCCTATCCACTGTCTTATCTCTCCAGCCCCTCTAGATGCTATGTTAGCTTTCTTCTTCTCTCTGTAATTATAATAAATCCTGTATTTGCAGGAAATATAATCCTCCATCCCCCCAATTATTTTCCTATATAGGCATACCTATGACAAAGTTTAATTTATAAATCAGGTACAGCAAGATATTAATAATTAAAGCTAATACCAATACAGAATAATTATAATAGTATTTTTTATTAAAGTTATTTGTATGGTCTCTCACCCTCTATCAAAAACCTCATTGTAAGTCATATTTTCTGAGCCTGATTGATCCAGAGGTAACTGATATAATGGGAAGTAAAATTGTGGATAAAGGGGACTCATGCCGTATTCTTTGTGGACTGCCTTTGTGGATTTTGTGTTTTCATTTGGGTTTTGACAGTTTGACTGAGGTGGGTTTTGTTCAAAGAATGTGGTTTTGGTCTGGTATTAGTTTTAGTCCTGCAGGAGGTTCTCTGAGATTTTTAGATCTTCCATTATTTGGAGGAAAATCTCTGCCACATGCCTCTTCAAATATTTTTTCTACTCCTTCCTCTCCAGCTGTGCACATCTCCTTGGGGATAGAGAGTGGCTCAGTTTTAGTTCTTTGGCTGCTTGGCTGCTCTTCAAGGAATGTTGTGATTTTGTTGTTTGTATTGTTATTTCATCACAAGAATGGCGGAGACACTTTTCAACTTTCTATATCCTGGACAAAAGTAAGATTCTGGACCAATTTAGAGAGATAAACTGTTGAAAAGAGAGTTCTCTGGAAAGTCCAAGTCTCCTACTGCATCCATAAAGGCACATACAACCTTTTTTTTATCTTGTAGTATAAGCCTCATCATGACATTTGATTAAAGAAACCGGGTTGCTCTACTTGTTCACTATAACTTAGAAAGAGCCTATCTTCTAAAAAAAATTTAAGAGCCTCATTATTTATAAAACACTTCAAAAACTTGCCATTACTTTGGTATTTTTCCTATGAAAAAGAGAATCCACCTAAGTTGGAAAAACCAGTAGAGGCTGCCAATCTTCTTGGACAGTTTGGCTGAACCTTAAAACCCACATATTCAAGCCAAAGCAAAGCAAAATCACTTCACAGACTTCATAGTGTGAAGTTTCAGGAAGGACCTAAACCCTTCAACTCATCATACTTAGATGAATGTGAACCATCTTCTTCTAATGTAGAACCGCTTCTAAAGTAAAATGGCACGCCATCTGGAACTAGCCAGGAGGATGAAGGCCTTAAAACTCTCATCAGGAAGGAAGGAAGGAAGGAAGGAAGGAAGGAAGGAAGGAAGGAAGGAAGGAAGGAAGGAAGGAAGGAAGGAAGGAAGGAAGGAAGGAAGGAGCGAGGGAGGGAGGGAGGGAGGGAGGGAGGGAGGGAGGGAGGGAGGGAGGGAGGGAGGGAGGGAGGGAGGGAGGAGTTGTGAGAGCTTGTGAAAGTGTAACACAGGTCTGTTGGAAATGGGAGTGGACTTATCCCAGCTTCCCCAGCTGGTTAATAGTAAAACCTGGGTAAAACCAAGCATGGCTCAGTTCAAGATTGTTTACCCTTGGTCCATTCCACATCTTTCCCTGTATGTTGCTGCTCAGTACTGCTGCTAACATTATCTTCCTGGGTCAGCTGAATTCCAGCTAAGTTTCACCAACAGGGAGCACAAGCAGGGGACTGGAGGGAAGGACAAAGTCTGGAATTTCTTCTCTAATGCCTCCAGTGGAGTCCTGTGCAGCTGCTTCATCTCCTCTGTGCTTCTAGTTCCTACCTACCCTTAGCCCGGTGACCCTCAATCTCAGGATCTAATAACAATCCCCTGACTTTTGATTCCAGCCAAGGGTGGAAACAACTTCTTGCTAATCTAAGCTATTTCACCTCGTTAGATTAGGCTTCTCATCTCTCCCATCTTCTGTGTATTCAAGTCTCTCAATTAAATTGCTTGTTTGCAAGTATTTTTTTCCCTGTTTTGATGAACGTGATAGCTTTATGTTCTTCCAACAAAATGCACATGTTCAAACTGCATTCTCAGTTCTGGGAGCTCTCTCAAATCCTTTTAGTACATCCCTTTTCTGTATAAGTAGCCAGAAAGCCAGAATTGGTTCCTGTCCTTTGCACCTGAGACTGCTGAGGGCTTCAGCGAGAAAGGATATGGCTGAGTCTGCGGCTGTATCTTATTGAGTCAGAATCCCTTGGGAGACCCTCTGACAAACATCCGTTCTGAAACATGCCCAGGTAATTGTGTTGCTCAGACAGGGCCTCAGACCACTCTTTCAGTTAATATGATTGCCAGCAGACATGACAGAGCAGCTGAAATTTTGAAGTCCTGTCTCTTTCAGAGTCAGTCTGCATCTAGAAAGACTATCTCACCAGGAAAAAAATAATGGATCATATTCTTTTAATTGAAAATAATTAGTGAATGTTATGTTTATAAGTGGTTAGGTTCAGACAAATGATAAAAACTAGAACTTTTTTCCATGTTCAATGTCCCCATTTCAACATGCATTTCTTTTATGCAGGGACTGTATCTGACTCTTCATTTGTATGTTTTCAGCATCTAGTAAATTGGCTAGAATAAGTAAGTGCTCAATAAATGTTTATAGGATGCCTATAATGCCCACATATATCACAAAGGCAAAGCCTTAACTATAAACCTTTATAATAATTTAGAATTAAAAAATGTTCCATGTACTATAAAATAAGAATGTTCCTTGCACTAATAAAAGGTGTCACAGTATGCTATAAAATGTACAAGGGGCATAAAATTACTTTGTAGCTTCATTAGAATTTGACCTAAAACTCAGTAAGTACGAGAATAACTTTGACTGTTAAAGGGGATTAATATTGGAAGGTGAAACAGAAAAGATGAAGATGCTAAACCCTCACACTAGGAATCGGTTAATAAGAGATTATCTTAAGACAAATTACTAATATTGCATTCAACATTTAATAAGATAGAGCCAATATTTAGTCTTCTCCTGAGTTATTTGTATAGAATAGTTGTTATTTTAAAAAGAAATTCACAGTGGATATAATAAAAAGCCCAAATCTTCTGATTTTTCACAAACCCCGTTTTCTCTTCTCATCCACTAGTGAGTATCAATGACACCATGGCATAAGTAAAAGTAAAGTAAATAAAACCCAAATAATTAGTCATAGAGAGCCATTCTTTTCCCTCGAGAAATGATACCTTTACCTCTTTTAAGAACATGCTCAGATATTTAATATTTCTTAGGCTGCTTGGCTATTATCTTTTAGTAAAATAAACTACAAAATCAAATTATAGATCATGTTTAAGCACCAGTAATTTACGTACTCTACCCAATTAACATCTGATTTATTGAGAACTCTTGGGCAGCTCCAAGAAACAATGGCCATCCCAGGTGATTTTTCTGCCTCCTGGAGAAGTTGACTGTAATATAAACCCAACTATTAGGAAAGTATCTGTTACCACTATATAGGATTTGGGTTTCTGGAGGGCCTAAAAAGGGTCCTTTTGTCCTTTCAAAATTAGCTTAGGTTCTGCCGATGTAATACTAACCAATCTGTTTCAAAACTGTTCTTTTATTACCAAGAAATGTTTGAAAAGAAAATGAAAGCGAGGCACAGGAAGGAAAATACTAGGAACTGAGGTGATAAAATTGACAAAAACAGAAGAAAATATTACAGCATTGTTCCAAAGCTCAGGAAAATAGGCAGCGTGTTCAGATTCTTTCTGAGACCAGGAGGAAGGAAAGAGGTTTTAAAAATGTGGACGCCCCCTCATCTCTCAAAAAGCAGTGATTCTCGAGATCCTGAAGATCCATTCCTTCTCTGTTCCATCAGAAACTTAGTTATATATATATATATATATATATATATATATATATACAGACATATTCCTTTTCCTTTGAATGCTGATTGTGATTCAATTTGGTAGCCTCTTCCTGGGAGGTTCCTGTGAGTTAGAGCACTTGCAGGGGTGGGTGGGAGGCTCAAAGACCTGGGAAGCCAGGAGGCCTTCACAGTCAGAGCTGACTGGAGTGGGGGACAAGAACTTGAACTTCCTCCCCTTTCTCCCACCTGGTTGGGCAACTTTGGGTCAGTTTCTCGCTGGTTAAAAGCATCTCTTTTCTTGTGCCTAAGTGGCAAATAAGAATACCAACAACATTTCTCAGGGTTTTGTTTTTTAGGATTATATTTGGTTTATTTTTACGATTGAGCAATTGGAATATGTGAAGTGCCCAGTGCACATCCCAGGCAAGGATGTTCACTGCCTGGGGAAGTTCTAGGTGAAGAGACTGAGGTCCTTCCATCCCATCTAGTTCTCTTCATAGAGGACAGGTGGAAATGGGATAAATGGAAGGTGGGAAAGACTTTTGGATGGAGGCGCATTAATGAGTGTAAAACCTCGTTGGAAGCAGATAGTGTGAGAGCTCAAATGCCTAGGAATTTGAACTTTCATTACATGAATCATGAGGGCCACTGTGAGGCCCATGAGGATCAATTATAAGGCTGAGAGAGGAATGATCAAAACACGAACTCATCTAAATACCCAGCCTCCTCAGACCCGTCTTCATAGAGAAAAGTAAGGGACACAGTGGAAGTAATAAACACTGGGTTAGCACTTCCTTTGCCAGCATTATTCCAAGCACTTTGCAGATACCAACCCCTTTAATCCTAGGAGGATGTTGTCATTCCCTTCATTTTACTGATCAGAAATAAGAAGACTTATACAGGTCATGGCAGACTGGGTTTGGCTTCATTCAGTCGGTCCTCAGACTAGTGAACCCTGCCCCAAAATACTTCTACCGTATTGCCTCGAGCTCATAAAAGGACAAAGGAATAGAAAACAATATATGGAGAGAGTGATGGACTGAGCCCCAGAGGAGACAAACAATTGCCTGTGGAGGAAGCAATAGAGGCCCTGCAATGGTCACTCAGATGGTCATTTGCCCTAAACTCCATCCCTGAAGAGCAGAAATCTTGGGCTGTGGGATTAAGTTCATTATCCATCTGAAGACTCAGAAATGAAGGCTTTAAGAATGCCCTGTCACAGAGGCAGGGTGGGATGGGGGGTGGGATGGGGGGTTAGAGGGATACTGGGATCCGTGGTGGTGGGAAATGGGCACTGGTGGAGAGTTGGGTATTTGATCATTTTATAATTGAAACCCAAGCACAAAAATTTCAACTGTACCTCATGATGTCTCACTAATAAAATTTTTTAAAAAAAGAATGTCTGGGATTGAAGTGAATAACTGAATAATCAGGAACAGCTTGGCCTGCCAGATACATTGTACAGTGTATTATTTTGAAAAACTGGCAATTTAAAGAAGTGAAACGGACCATGAAGATAATTAAATGGGCTGAATTTCCTATTTAGCAGGTAGAAAGAACTTGGTACATTATTTAAGATACTTCATGATCAGATCCAGATTTTTTTCCCCTCACTCTTCCCTTCCAGGATTATGAAATGTCCCCTCCACCATGTCTGCAAGCCTGAATTCTATTCTCAAGAGCTTGTCCCCAGTTTGCCTTTCCCAAATACACTCTTCCTTCTTCTCCTTGTTTTCACCCAGGATGCTGATCTGTAGGACAAGGTCAAAAGGGCCACTTCTGGTTTCTGCTGGGGGCCAGCTAATTGGAGTGTCGGTGGGGAACCAGTCCTGAGATTGTGGATCAGGTCCCTCTCCTCCCTGATGCTTTCCCTGGGCTGGGCTGGCTTGCTCTCTCTCTCTTCTAAGACAGCACTCTCTTAGTCTTGCAGGGCTTTAAAACAGGTAAAGCTCAACTGTTATCAATTCTGGATGATTGTACCATTTCTTGCAATCTTCCTCCTTGTAAACCCCTTTGCTAACCTACCCTCTTAATTCTTTGTGTGATTGTGTTATTACTTTCTTTTGGGGTCTCATGTTTTTTCATGATAAAACCAGCTTCTCTCTGAACTCTCACAAAACTTGATGTATACGTCTTTGAATGTCCTGTTCTTTGAGAGAGTATAGGATTTTCATGCGTGTTGTAAATCTGTCCCTTACTGGAATCACTCAGTGTATGCTAGAAGAATGGCAGGATGGCAAGGGCATAAGCAAGTACAGTCTTGTGCCGTTTAAGTTTCTTTTGTGCATGCTGGTTGATTCCTGTTATGTCAGCATTAAAACTAAAGTGCCTTCACATGAGGGGGAAGAGCACCCTTTACACTCCAGTCCTGATGGTGTCTGAGCTGTCTGCAGGAGAGCCTCAGGTCTCACTCCTCCCCGCACGCTACCAGGGTGTGTACTGATGGTGGGTCTCTGTGTGTTGCAGGCCTTTCTCCATACAACCACCTGTTGGAACTCTAAGAGTGGGAGAGTCCATGCAAATGGAAGTCCAGTTTGAGCCACAGACAGTGGGCAATCACAGCCAAAAACTTATTGTGTGTTATGATACAGGTATGCATTATCTTTTGTTCAAACTTCTCTCTGTTACAGAAGGTCGAATGGGAAAGAGGAAATGGTTGTTCTGGCTACATATGAGTAATCTAAGATTCACAAGATAAAAGAACCAAAGAAGGAATGCCTTCAATAGAAATAATGTTGAACTGGGAACAAATCCCATCTGCAGGGTTTCCCTAGTGTCCCCTAAGCCTGAGGAATACAGGACTTAGGAAGGACATGTACTGAGAAGTTACATTGATGGATTGAGGTTATTTATATGTAAATGAACTTGACACTAATTTAATACCTCACAGGTTTTCTAGTTATATGTGTCTAATAATGAAACAAAATTTAAAGCCCTCTTCAGAATGTTCTTGTGTTTAAATACTAGTCTATGTAACATGCAGTTACTTTAATACTTAGAACATCAAAATACCTTCTGTAACATATAGGATTATGTCTATCATCATTAGCAGTTTTTTGAAGATTACAACTTATTCCAAGTTTTTGACAAGTATTTAATGTATATCCATGTAGACTGATGGTATATTATGTAAGTCTCCAAAGTTGATTTCCAAATGAGTATTTATCTATTTTATCCATTCATGTTGACTGACCCCTGTAGTTGGCATCAGCACAGCCAAGGAAGGAGCCACAAGTGACAGATGGCTGCTCAGTCCCCTGTGACTACCTTTGTGGATGCCTGTCTGAGCATAAAAATTCTGCCTCAACATTGGCCAGCACAATGCCAACCATGTAAACAGTGGCACCATTTTTACTTCTTACCTTTTCGGGCTTGCCATACTTTATTAGCTGCTAGCAAGAGAAACCTAACTTGAGCTAGCTGAAACAAGGAAAAAGTTTCACCAAGGAAATGCAACAATAGAGAGCTTTCCGAACCTATAGTTGGCATTGATTTCTAAAGCTGTGGTTCTGTTTTGTACTTCTGCCAGTAAAATGTGAGGACAGTTTCAGTTACTTCATATTCTGACCAAAAAGGAGTGTTTTGTTCATTTTAGACATGTGATTGGAATGAATTGATGCTTTGTAATTATTTTGATTTTTATTTCTCCAAAGATTAACATTGAGCTCCTTCTTACAAAAAATTCTCACATCTTTAAAACAGTTAAATCTTTGCTCATTTTTATTAAGTTTTCTTTTATTAAATTGTGATAGTACTTTACAACTTAATATTTTGAACACTGATCATTTTTTAAATAATTTTATTGAATCACCGTGAGATAGTTACAAGTGTTAATGCTTGGGTTACAGTCACAGTCCTCCCATTGTTCATCGATTTGCTCGAGCGGGCCCAGTAACATCTCCGTTTTGAGACTTCTTGTTACTGTGTTTGGCATATTGAATACGTCACGGGTAGCTTGCCAGGCTTTGTTTGGGTTACAATCACACAATGATCAAATTCCCATCCCTCCAGAACATTGATCATTTTCAGACTATTTTAGAATTGTTAGCACAGCGGTAGGGCATTTGCCTTGCACGCAGCCAACATGGCCGACCCGAGTTCGATTCCTCCGCCCCTCTCGGAAAGCCCGGCAAGCTACTGAGAGTTTCTTGCCCACACGGCAGAGCCTGGCAAGCTCCCCGTGATGTATTTGATATGCCAAACACAGTAACAACAAAGTCTCCAATGGAGACGTTACTGGGCCCGCTCAAGCAAATCGACGAACAATGGGGAGGGCCTTTACCTTTACCTTTACCTTAATATTTTCTCTGTCTGTGGGGCTGGAGCGCTAGTACAGCGGGTTTGCCTTGCACATGGCGGACCTGGGTTCTATTCCCAGCATCCCATATGGTCCCCCAAGCACTGCCAGGAGTAATTCCTGAGTGCAAATCCAGGAGTAATCCCTGTGCATCGCAAGGTGTGACCCAAAACAAAACAAAAAAAAACCCAAATATTTTCTCTGTAACTTGCCTTTTTATTTCCTTAGTATTTTTTAACTTTATTTATTTATTTATTTATTTTTGGCTTTTGGGGTCACTCCCGGCAATTCACAGGGGTTACTCCTGGCTCTGCACTCAGGAATCACTCCTGCCAGTGCTCGGGGGACCATGTGGGATGCCGGGGATTGAACCCAGGTCGGTTGTGTGCAAGGCAAATGCCCTACCCTCTGTACTATCACTTCAGCCCCTCCTTAGTATTTCTTTTGGGCATAGTGATAGTACAGCAGGTAGGGTGTTTGCCTTGCACGTGGCCGAACCTGGTTCAATTCCTCCATCTCCTCTTGGAGAGCCCGGCAAGCTACTGAGAGTATCCTGCCCGCACGTCAAAGCCTGGCAAATTACCCATGGCGTATTCAATATGCCAAAAACAGTAACAACAAGTCTCACAATGGAGATGTTACTGGTGCCTGCTCGAGCAAATCGATGAACAACTGGACAATGCAGTGCTACAGTATTTCTTGATATGCATAATTTTTTGACTTTTTTCCATTCTGTCATTTTTATTTTAAGAGTAATGTGGGATTTTTTTTCCTTTTTGCTAAGGAACATTGGCCTTTTCTAAGATTATGAACATGTCTTTCTGTGTTTTCATTAGGGAGGATAATGGTTTTCACTTCTATGTTTAGATTCATGATCCATCTTTGATTTTATTTGTGTGAGGTGTAGGGACTGTTGCATTTTCATCATCCCATATGGATTTTAGGCTCTTTCCCATATTACTGTCTTGTCTGGAATGCTAATTAGTTAATCAACTTGTCTTTAATTAATCTATTATGACTGAATTATTTATTCATTTTTACCTTTCTTTTGTGTTTCTATTATTAGTCTGTGTAAACTTCTCTGGATTCTTCTTATCCATCATTTCGTTCAATAATGTTATCTTCAGTAAAAACAATAATGTTATCTTCAGTAAAGACATCTGTTGAATTTTAATTTTTCAGTTCTCATAATTATTTTCATTTCTGAATTTTTTTGTTCTTACTAAATCTGATTGCTCTCAATATTTTTCAAGTTTTCATTTATTAAACAAAGCAATTTCTATTTTGTGTCTAATAATTAAAGTATATTATCTGCTTTTTTATTTAACTTTTTTGTTTCAACTATCGCATGTATCACTTAATCACTTAATCACTTAATCCCCGTTATTCATCGATTTATTCGAGCGGGTGCCAGTAACGTCTCCATTCATCCCGGTTGCGTGCTAGCGTAGCCCAATGGTATCTGTTCGTTTTAGGAACATGTAGAGCCTCAAACCGATCATTTAGGGTCTTGACGAAGAAGTCTGACCATCTTATAGGTGGGCGTCCACGTGATCTTTTGATGTCTCGTGGAATCCAATCAGTAATGGCTCTAGTCCAGCGGTTGTCTGTAAACCTCATTACATGTCCAGCCCATCTGATTTTTGATGTCTTGGCAAATGAGACAGCGTCTCTGATTCTTGAGCGTTGACGAAGATCAGAACTCCGGATTCTATCTCTCATTTGAGTGAATCGTGATATTCCAAGCATAGTTCTTTCGATTCCTCTTTGAGAGACCCGAATAGTGTTCTCATCCTGTTTTCGTAGGGTCCAGGTCTCTGAGGCATATGTTAATGCAGGAAGAATAGTGGAATCAAAGAGATGTGCTCGTAGTTGGAGGTTCTTTGTCCTTTTAGTTATTTCTTCAATGCTCTTGAAGGCATTCCAAGCCGCTCTCTTCCTCCTGCGTAACTCAGGTGCCAGGTCATTCATCATGTTGATTTCTCGACCTAAGTATATATAACTGTTGCATTCGGAGATGGTGGTTCCGTTGAGAGCGAATGGAGCGTCAGGAACAAGGCTGTTTCTCATAAACATTGTCTTCGTAAGATTCAGCTGTAGTCCAACCTTTCCACACTCACGGTCAAAGTCCGCAAGCATTTGTGCCGCTTGGCTGATGTTTGGTGTTATTAGAACGATGTCATCAGCAAAGCGGAGGTGGTGTAGTTGCCGACCATCTATCTTCACTCCCATGTTTTCCCATTCTAGTCGTCGCATGATGTTCTCGAGGGTGGCACTGAAGAGTTTTGGTGAAATGGTATCACCCTGCCGAACCCCTCTCTTGATATGGATGATTACTTCTTTGTAGAATGGTGAGATCTTGGTAGTGAATCCGCAATAGAGCTCACGAAGGATCCTGATGTATTGAGTTTGTACGCCCTGATTGGCTAGGGCTTCCATGACCGCATGTATAGGAAAGGAAAATACCTCTTTTCCTCAATGGAGGAAGAGGAAAGAGCATATTTCTCATGGTTTTTGGCTAAGCTCCTTCTAATAAAAGACTGATTCACAATAGAAAAGGATACAAATATCAATTTTGTCTGAGAGGGAAATTCAAGAGTCTTTATGGAGAGTGCTCAAGGTCTCAGAGCTAGTCAGAGCACACCCAGAGCCGGAACTCTGACTTCCTCTTAGACCTCATAGGGCTTTCCCCAGGAATGGGCTCTTCGTCCGTCTGTCTCCGATGCCATTTGCTTTCTCACCTGCTCGGTGTATTGGCTCTGAAATGCAGCTGCCCTTTCCCAGTGACCTTTGCTTGGAGTTGACTTTTCTGCAGGCTTTTGAATTGATACACACTTGCTTTTAAAGTACTGTACTAAAGGAAATGAATATTTTCTGTGTTGAGATTTTATCATGGATGGAAAACTTGATTTCCATATCCTGAGGTTATGGTGTCAGTGTGGGTGTAGGAATAAAGTCATTTCCTAAAGATTACAGAGTTAAACATGACTGTCTTGCAGCATTTAGCCTTGCGTGAAATGAACTGCTGATAAGAATATGCTTTCATGTTTATTGTGGGTTATCAGTGACCAGAACCTATAACCTCCCATTAGTGAAAAACAGTAATGACTGCCTAAACACAATTAATCATGAAGCTTTTCCAAGCAAGCATGATCGCTGGCTTCTTGTTTCACTAAATAAGCATCTGATTGAGCTTTCTGCAGCTGTCTGAAGTATGAATTGATTTAAGGAGGGAAATTTAGCATGGGCTGTTGATGGAAATCTTCAGACTTCTTAACAATATTCCAGAAGGAG